GTTAGGTAGAAAGGATATGTGAGTATTAACTATTCTACAGAGTAGGCAAATCCAGGAAGTTCTCACAATTCCACAGAATAGGCAAATCCAGGAAGTTCTTACAATGCTTTGCTATTAGAAACTGAAACTTCCTTCCCCCAACCTGAAACCTCCCAGATAATAATCCTGAGCCAACACAATGAAAATTATGATCCAGCACAGAAATACAAAAACTTGTTTATTTTAAGCAAGCTGTTATAACAAAATTAGGATTTGATCACTGACAGTTGGCCAATCCATGTCATTGGGCTGGTGAATCCACTCTGACTTTTAGTTTTGAACTATCCAAATCCTGAACCTATTCTGGGAACAAACAAGGAGCCAGCAGGATTGAAAATGTGCCAGATTGCTGCAAATCATGTAATGCATACAAGTACACACAGACAGTAAACATAGTTTGCAGATTCACAAGCAGAGGCATAAAACAGATTCAAGACATTATCTTACCCCCACATCCCAAAGTTTTCTTGCCTAAGTGAATTTACAATGTAGGAAGCTGTCTTACACCAAATCCAGCCATTCATCCATCTAGCTCAGTAGTGTCTACCTTGAATGACAGTGACTCTTTGGAGCTTTAGCCTACATCTTTTCTAGATGGAACTATCCGGAGATGCTAGAGACAGAACCTGGGGCCTTCTGTATGCAAACCATGTGCTTTACCACTAAGCTATGTTCCTTTGCCAAGTGAGTGTGTCGGGGAAACCAACACACTACCTAATACAAACTACTCAAGTAAAAATATCTCCAGCATAGATGAAACGAATCTAGGCTACAACACAACTCAATATAGCCTGGGTGATCACTTTTAATGCAATTTTCCTACTTCTTGGCAGGGAGATGAACTGGATGGCCACAAGGTCTCTTCCAACTCAATGACTCATATACAGACATTCTATGAGCTCTGCATGTGGCTCCTTTCCTAACTTTATAATGTGTGTCATAAACTGGACAATTTGATCCAGGATCCAGCCAATCATAGCCCACCTGAATCTTTCCAGAAACTATTAATGGTCCTTCCTCCATTATACTTCCCAGCTATAAACACAGTTACTTTTGATCAGACAATATAAAGACCATCACACTCCAAGTGGGAAATGCTTTTCCCATAAGCAACCCATGGCTTTTGAGGACTGGATACATATAGGAGACAGACAAACTAGATCACATTCCTTCCTGTAGCAAATAAAACAATATTCCTTAACACCCCACATGGCAGATTGATGACTCCTCCTAAATGTAGGATTCTGTAGCAGAATCTTGAGGAACAACACAGCTTCTAAGTCATATTCAAACACAGGTATGAGCACTAACTTCAAGCAGTTCGCGTTTCCCTCTCATCCCCTTTCTCCTCATCACATAATCTCCTCCCATCCAGCCATAACCACGCAGCATAAACCATGCCTCTGATGCACCTGGGGGGGGGGGGGGGGGGAGGACAGGTGAAAACACTTTCCAACCCATCTTTCAAAAGCTACTGAATACATGTTTTTTGTGTATGAGTCCCTACTTAATATATATTCTTTGTAGATGAAAGGGGTGGTGCATCCATGTGATGATACCCATAGGGACTTACGTGCAAAGAGCATCAGAGATGGGTCATTTCCTTTTATGATAAGATCCTAAGACCTGCCTAGACCAATATCTATTCCCCACAATATCTAACCAAATACTGCTGAAAAGTCTTTAAAGAAAACATTGACCCTTGTCCATTTTTGTTCTTCGACAACTATAGTTCATAACTGTGTTGCTTGTGGTCTTGGGTGTAAAATATACCAGTAGTTATTTGCAGGCTGGCCGTCTCTATTAATAGTGTAGTGCAGTGCTGCTGAACTTGCTGACCTAAAGGCTGGTGGTTTGAATCCGGGGAGTGGGGTGAGCTCTGGCTTTTAGTCCCAGCTTCTGCCAACCTAGTAGTTCAAAAACATGCAAATATGAGTAGATCAATGGGTATCGCTTCTGCGGGAAGGTAACTGCCCTATGCAGTCATGCTAGTCAGATGACATTGGAGGCATCTACAGACAACGCTGGCTCTTCAGCTTAGAAATGGAGATGAGCGTGCGCGCGCACACACACACACACACACAGAGAGAGAGTTGGACACGACTAGACTTAATGTCAGGGGAAACCTTTACTTTTACTAAATTGTGTGAAACTAAGAATGCAAGAACTAGGCAGACCAGATACATTTTATGTCTGCTGAAAGCATAAAAATCTTTTAAACACCTTGACACCATGGTGCTGACGCATAGGGACTGGCAAGGGATCAGCACACTAAGCCAGAGATGTACTGAAAGTGCACTTAAAACAAACTTTCATGCAGATATTTGAGAGCAATTTTGTGCTCCCTCTATAAATCTTATCCAAATGTCCTTGATTGCCTTTTGCTGTATTCATATCCTGCCTTTTCCAAAACAATTGGTCATCATGCTGATTTCAGCTCTGTGGGAGAAATTCCACACACAACCTAGCAACTGAACTATTAAAAACATTTTACGTAAAATCATCTGATTTATAATCTCACCTTAAAACAGATGATACGGCAAAGTGTGTTGTGTAAGACTAAAAAGCCAAGCCCCAAAGTCTCCTAATGTTATCTCTGTAGATTGTACAAGAAGCTAATGGTAGAAGCATGTGTTACCAAGAACTTGGAGGTAATGCGTACGAGCCAGATCCTGCTGATACTTCAGTGCAATAGGCCAATTACGCAGGTGGATGACCTTCTTCCTGGCTTGTATAAGGTGGTCATCTTACATAAGATAATTCCCAGATTGTTTGCAGTTCTTCTGAAAATCATGTGGACACATCTTCCCCACTTTTGTCCTCAGTCTGGATACCTTACTTCTCATAATGTAATGGAGTTAATACAAAATATTGTTGAGCTACATCCGCTATCAAAAGAACCATGGCCAGAAATAAAAGACCCATCCCCAAGGATGGTGAAGGAGCAAGGCTTCCCCTTGTCCCTCGGGCTTGGGATATTCACTGTGTCAGGCAGGTAGAAAAAAATAATGTGCAGTTGTCAGCCAATAGTACTGAGGCAGAGGAGTATGACTCACTCAAGACAACCATTGATTAATAACTATCTTATGTATCCAGGTAATGATTAAACATTCTCTATCCATCTACAGCTGTTGAAACTGGAAATAAATGCTGTTGCAATGTTTGGTTGTGCATTCTACTGAACAGTGTTGCCAATCCATTCAACAAGAGGATAGCGGTGCAGTGTCTTACCTCCATACATGGTGTATGCTATGCAAATCCCATTATAGGATCTTATGGCCTTGTGCAAAGTCTAAGATCCTATTTTCCCTTTTCCTCTTGTTTTTGTATCATAAATAGAAGTTCTATGTGGAAATTCTTCTTCAATAGGTTAGTAGTAATTACTGAACTGAACTTTTCAGGAAACAATAGATGAATGCGAAATCACAAGTGCCATTTTCCAAATTTTTCATCTCATTAAATATTGTCCGGAGAATTAATAGTAACTGACTATTTTGAATTATTTCTTTTCAAGATCAAGGAAACCTATAGTCATGTTATTATAATTGTCAAATGAGACTGAGGGCCCTTCCACAAAGCTATATAACCTAGAATATCAAGGCAGAACATCTCACAATATCTGCTTTGAAGTGGGAGTCCACACTGCCATATATTCCAGTTCAAAGCAGATTATGTGGGATTTTATTCAGCTGTGTGGAAAGGGCCTCAGAAGGGGCTTTTTTCCTATCTTTCATGCCTGTAAAAATCAAAGGGATACTGAAACTGTTACTTCTTAAATTTCTTCTTCTTCTTCTTCTTCTTCTTCTTCTTCTTCTTACTACTATTATTATTATTAACTTTATTTAACACATACACTGACTTTTCCCCAGCATTAGAACTTGAGGCTGTTTACAACAGTCCAAAAGGATTTATTTATATTACTATATTTATATCCTGCCTTCTTCAACCCCCAAGGGGGACTCAAGGCGGTTTACAGATGTGTTACTCTTAGAACAAAATATAAGAGAAGAGTAAAATATTAAGAATTTTCTGACACATTTAAAAAAACAAATTTCCTCCAATTTAGTAAAGGTAAAGGTTTCCCCTGGCATTGAGTCTAATCGTGTCCAAATCTGGGATGTGGTGCTCATCTCCATTTCTAAGCCGAAGAGCCAGTGTTGTCCATAGACACCTCCAAGGTCATGTGGCCAACATAACTGCATGGAGCACCGTTACCTTCCCACTGAAGTGGTATCTATTGATCTACTAACATTTGCATGTTTTCAAACAGCTAGGTTGGCAGAAGCTGCGCCTAACTGCGGGGACTCACCTTGCTCCCTGGATTAAAACTGCCAATCTTTCAGTCAGCAAGTTCAGCGGTTTAACTCACTGCACCACCAGGGGCCCATCATCCAATTTAGAGCTCTGCTAAATTGTGATGATTTTCTTTGTATCAAAATTGTGTATATCATGTAGAGTTTACTATCATTGCACTATACTTATAACATTAATACAAACATATACATCTCCATAAAACTCTTTCATATATGGAAATGTAATTTAAAAAGCAATTTGGGCAAGACAGCAAATAAGCTTTAAATTGTGGAGACAGGCACAGCTCATCTATCAATTATAAGTGCACACCTTGGTTGACAACCTGGAACATAATGAATTTTTTAAAAAGTCTTTTAAGACTGAAAGAAAAGTGGTTTTTTGTAATAAGAATAAAAATCAATTTGTAAAGAACAACAACAGAAAATGAGTTTTTTTAGCTCGGCCTTAATTGTAATGCTGTTCACAGAAGTTGCTGAAAGCAACAGCTGCACATTCTAGAAGGCAATTGGATAGTAAAAACACTTAGCAAATCAGTGAAAATGAGAGGCAACTGTTATAAAGCGGCACAGAAAAGCAAGTGCAGCCAAATGTTCAAAGGTAACAGTGAAAAAAAAAGTCTTTTTCTTCTTGTCCCTCTGATAGATTACCTTTTCACAGAAAGCCTGGTGCTGAAAGGAAGGATTTGGCCTGACGCTCGCTCTCCAATTAAACTAACTGCAGAAAGGAACATTCTAATTGGATTCAGGTAGCGGCAAAGAGTGTTATTTGGCAAGGATGCCCAACTCTTAGCTGCTGGGACAAAAGTCCCCGAGACGTTCACAGATGCATTTGCGTAACATGTTGCAAAAGATCTCAAACAGTAGCCATGAATTCAGTGAGGGGAGAATTAAATTATAGACTGGTAAAGAATGGGATGCGTGCAAAATGCAACTCTGAATGGGATGAAAGGGGATTATGAAGCTAATCACAATTTCACACAAAGGGGTTTTCCTTCCAAAGGAAAGGAGGAAGGCTATCAAATTGCTGCATTTTAAAAATAATTAATCACTCAAAAAAGGATTTAGAAACAAAACATAAATATCAGGATCTTTTGAATGTGGAACAAGGTTCTATTATTTAAACTGGATATGTCACAAACTAAATATAGTACTTCCTGCAACTTCCCACTTGTGTATAAATTGTGCCATTTTGAAAATATATGGGTGAGTTCTCTGGCTTTGGTACCAGGACTGCCTGTGGGTACCAAAACACATGGATGTTCAAGTCCAATGATATACAATGGCATAGTAAAATGGTGTCCCTTATATAAAATGGCCCACCCAAGGTTTTTATAATAATAATAATAATAATAATAATAATAATAATAATAATAATAAACAACTTGATTTGTATCCCACCCTATCTCCCCAAAGGGACTCAGGGCAGATTCCAACATAACAATGGCAAACATTCAATGCCTGCATAAAACACATGATGCAAACATAAAATCCCAGAAAACCCCCACATATAAAAGTAACGTTAAAGCCTAACATCAAATTAAGACCTAACACCAGTAAATTAAACCTGACATCAATAAGTTAAACTACCAAATTCTATAATAACATAAATCTAAACAAAACCTCCACATCAGTGTACAACAGCCAGCAAGGGTTCACAAAACGGTGTGGGTTGGCTACGTAGTCAAATGAGGTCATTGGGCTGGTGTGGACCAGGAAAGCCCAAATACGCATAGTTCTCAAACAGATTTTATTTTTGATTTTATTTTTTAAAGGAATGTTCAGGTCAGGAATGATGGAATCTGTAGATGTAGAATCCATGGATTGGGGACATGAGTGTACATGTTTCCACAGTTGAAGAATTAATTCGGCATTATATCTCACTAAGACAATGGTTCCCAATCTTTTTTTTACCAGGGACCACTTTGACCAGGGAATATTTGACCAGAGACCACTCTCCAAAATTAGTACTAAAAGGGTTACAAATAAGTTTTTGTCAATTTTAGATTCGGTTTGGAATGCTGATTCAGAAAATTGCATTGAATAGACCATATCACCTATAGTTTCTGACTCAGAATATATGCCATGGTCAGCGACAGGGAAGGAGTGGCAGGCAGCGCAAAAGCAGAGGAATTAAATACAATAAAATAAATAAAGGGGAAGGAGGCTCGTGGAGCAGATTTTAGTTCTCACCACCCACTGGTGGTCCACGGCCCACAGGTTAACAAGCACTACACTAAGAGAATACTTAACACAATGTGTTTTTGCTTCTTCCTTGCTGTCCTCATGCCATTAAGTGAAAACTTCTGTATTCTGACAGGCTTTCTGAAATTGACAGCTAAGTCTTTTTAAAGTGTGCTGTTTTACCAATTTCCTCTCCCTTTTTCTTGGGTTCATTCTGTCAAGTTTTAATTCTGTTTCATTGGAAGAATAACTTATGGTGTAAAGTTTAATTTATGAGGTGTTTTTAACTGCATTTGCTTTATCTTTTCTGAGATCCCTTGAGTCCTAGCCATGGGGGGCTACAACAGGATATAAATGAAGAAATAATATATAATTATATTGTAAAATGTAATTTAATATGATCAAATTAAATCTAATTATATTATTGAATATACCTTGATATAAAACAATGAAATTAAATCTAATTATATTATTCAATATAATTTAGCATGTTATAGCCTTTCCATAGTGGTAGCATTGTTTGATCCTGCAAAGCAAAAGGCTATGAATATGCAAACTGAATGAGTGTCTGTGACCTCTTTTATCCCCCTTTTTGTTGATGTCTTCCCTAATAAGGTGTGATGACTAAGTGGTTGTTCTAAAATATCACACTTTTTTCTGATTTATCAACGACTTCCTGAGGCCTGGTTTGTTAATCACTGTTTTCTCCTCCTTGTTTACCTTTGAAACTCCATCAAGCAATGTGCTGTGATAGGGATCATGGGATTCTAGTTGTTATCCTATCTTAAAACCAAGTGTGTTCATTTCTCTGGCGGGTGCCTACTGAGCAGTAACAGACACATCCTGCGTGTTGTTTGCTTGCCTGCTTCTTGTGCCAGAAGGTCAGAGTACAAAAGTCCTCACATGAACTTTTTGTAATGATGATATGTCTAACCACAAATGTGAGATTATACTATTTTACAAACCAACAAGTTACTAATTGTATAGAAGTTGGCTGTAAAGGAGTGTTTCTTAATGACAAGGGGCTGCTGAGAGAACTATGGCCCATCATTGTGTAGATCTTGCTTCAAAAAGGCATGTATAGACACTGCATCTTTTAATCTTTCCCCTATGTCTCTTCACCAGTTTAGCTTGTTGACTGAAGTCCAAGTTGTGTTAGCATTACCAGGAATTTACCTTCACAGGTATTCCATTCCAGTGCTGTTTTCTTTGCTTCTGCAATTGGTAGGAATGATTCAATCTCAGCCTAAATGTGAGAGATGATTACCATGAGCATGCAAATCATTTATCTCTCCAGAAGTTTCTGGACTCACGTCTGAGTAGCCTTGGCCAACACAGTCAATAGTGAAGGCACCTGAGAGCAGAAGTCCAACAAGAGCTGGAAGACTTCACAATACAGAAATGTGAAATATGTTAAAGCATGTTTTCATATAGATTTTTTTCCCACAAAAGGAAAGTAAATATGAACGACAAAAGATTGGATGCTATTGATTAATCCCTGATGACAGTATGTCTGGGGGATGAATCATTGAATAGTGAGGGAGCACACAAGTAAATCCCATTGATCCAATGGTGTGACTGACAATAAGATTCAAGTGATAGTGTACATATTATCAATTGAACCCGTATTGTGAAATTCAAGCTCCAAGTACATATTTGTAATAGAACATGCTTATTAAATGGATTTAAAAGTCAAAAGAATGACAAGGATAAAATGCAATACAAGGATACAGTTCCAGGAGACATTGGCCAAGAGTATCCTGCTCTATGTGCTGATTTCCCTTCTAACTGAGAGAGAGAATTCCTATCCATCACTCCCTGTAGCCTGCAAGAGAAGCTTGAAGAACTTAAACCTTCCATGGGCTGTATTTTGATTCTTTACGACTAAAGTAGGCAACTGTATTGGAAGCAGCAATACATATTTCTTCCCAAAACAATGCCAGAAGTCACATTATCAACTTCTGTCCCTCCCAAACTGGTGATCAGAAGTGATGTTATGATGCTTCTTGTTGTCATTTTGAGGGGGACTTCAGAAGCAAACAGAGCTATTTGAGGATAGTAGGTGCTCTTGGAGAAATGTGTTAATAGATTTTGCTTGTTTTCATGCATTTGGAGCATTTTCTGTGAAATTTTTGAGGCAAAATTTGTCTTCAAATTGTGGCAATTCCCCAATTGCCGACTGAGGGGGGCTTCCAGGGGTGGAAAAGGGGGGCCCATAAACTGCCTGCAGACTGAAGACATGTGTTTACCCTCTATGGTCTGATTTATACATGAAATAGTGCAATTTAAAATGGCCGCAGATAGTGAGGTCCAGGATACAGAAACCTGAGGCGTGGGTACCGAGTCCGAAAAGCAGCAACCAGCACCAGCAATCAGTCATCCTTGTGAGTTCATGCACCTGGCAAATGAGAAAAAGACTGATTTTTGTTTTTTGCAATAAAGCTCATCAAGTTGAAGAAGAAGCTGCTGAAGCTTTTATTCAATTAGGTGATAGTGATGCCAGCTTGCAGTAGTAAGGTGAGGTACCATTACAATGAAAAACATGCATTTTTACACATTTTACTTTGAATTTCCCATTCTCTCCCAGCTATTCTGGCTTTGCCGTGATTGGCTAGGCTCTGATGACATGAGGGAGGACTCCTTGCAGAAATGGGACTGCGGCACCTGTCGACCAATGGAGAGGCACTCCTCGCTTCCAATGTAAATTTGTCTCTGTCCAATGGTTGAAGCAGTGTGGAGAAGTCCAGTAGACAAAGGTGCTGAAATGAACTATGAATTGATTTTGTGGTACCAGCAAGGAACAAACAATGGGGGGCATCAGGTCCCAAAGATCTTTATTGTTGATGTGATTGCTATCTGAGTCCCCAGTCCATAGGTGCAGTGCCCCTGGCATTGAATGTGTACAGTCCAAAGCAGAAATATTGCCCATTCTGATAGGATTAAGTGGCAAATTCCTGAGAAAGGGGAAATGTTATTATGTTACAATGGGACATGTCCTCCTGACAAACTGGCTGGTCATGTCAGGTGATGAGTGGGTCATCATGTCCAGGTAGCTGAAGCAAAACACAGGCAGCCCAGTTGATGGATACTGTTGTCCTCTGCACGGCTGGAAGTTATGGAACTAGTAGAGATGGACTAGCCCAAAGATGAAGGGTGATTGATTCCAGTTTCATGTAGATAAGGCCCAGAAAGACAGCTGGCTGGCCTTCCCAGGTCAGGAAATGTTTAGGTGAAAATGTCATCGCAAGGCTTTGTCGGTGGCAAGGCTTCTCCAAAAGTTTTATACAAGATATAAAATCTAGAGAAATATTAATATAACACACGAACGAGTCCCAAGGATAGTGGAGGACCTGATCCCACAGAGAGAATGGGGAAAAAGTCAAAGTATGAAAAATACACAAAATGGAAAAATGTAGGATCTGTGGATACAAGGGGAGAAGCAGATTTTGTATCCGTGGTTTGGGCAAGTGTTTGCAGGGTTACAGGGGCAAAGGTGGGATGCTCCATGTGTTGACAGGGGTTGTTGTTATAATTTTATGTGACTTGTTTTATACTTTTGTACCGTTTTAACCTGTTGTACGTTATATGTGCACCCTGGAGTGCCCTATAAGCCACCCCAGGTCCTTTTGGGGAGATGGTGGCGGGATATAAATAAAGTTTGTTGTTTGTTGTTGTTGTTAATGTTTACACAGAAGGAGAAGAGGAAAGAAGGCACCTTTTTGAGGGCGGGGAAACTATGGGGCCATGTGGCCCAAGCGGCCAGCAGTGGAATGTGGAAGTGAAGAGGAACAGGCACAGGAGGCGAAAGGAAAGGCAAGGAGGCAGAAAGATAAGGGTAACCCTTTTATTAGGGGTTATAAATAATATAACTAATAGTAAAGAGAGTCAATGAACTTCCTGGGTGCTGGTAGCTGCTGCTGAGCTCCTCCAAACTGCTGAACATCCAGGTAGGTATATCTTTTAAATTTAGAGGGCACTTGTGACCTGCAGAAATCCCTGCTGTGGTGCCAACATTAACAACTTAATACTTTGACCGGGGGAGGAGACAGGCCCGTAGCCAGGATTTTGATTGGGGGGGGGGCTGAGTTTGTTTCGGGGGGGGGCTGAGTCCGAGTGAAAGAGGGTCTACCCTAGCAAACCTTTTGTATCATTACCCCAATACCCCCATGCATATGGGATATATTGAGTATGGTGATCAGATCATGATATGAATAAACATAACAGTTTAAATAATGCACCAGTAAGGCCTTTTCATGAACCACCATGAGAATTTTTGGGGGGAGGGGCTGAAGGCCCTCAAGCCCCCCCCCCCCCCCCCCCCCCCCCCCGGCTACATGCCTGGGAGGGGAGATCTGTCCTTGACAACATTCATAGTAGTTTCTTTACAACTGGTCTTGTTTTACAAACTGTAGTCATAGAGGCTGCAAATGCAAATGAAGCAGAAGTTGAGATGGTGACAGGATTCTATAACTCTTTCCTCTCATGCCATTTTCCTCTTAAAATTATCTCCTGTTTTTTTTTTTACCAAAGGAGGGGGGGAGGGGAATGCAAGAACCTGAAATTTTTGTGTCCAAGAGCAAAAAGTATCTGGAGACATAGGGTTGAAGTGGACACAAAGCATGCAACTGATTTTGAGAAACCATTCCCTGTAAAGGACTTTCTCTTCAGTTTGTGGCTTTCATGGTTCCATCTTGTCAGACAAAGCACAACAGAGATAATGAACTGTAGCAGGGTGCGTGTCTTGTGTACTTTCACTCTAAGGAATTTATTTCCCTGTAACATATTTTGTTGTGCTCTACTTCAGAGGCAAAGACTCACGGGGTAGAACAACAAATAATAGAACAACATGCTGTATTTTTCTAGCATATTTGGAGGAGCCAACTCATCAGGGAACCACCTCTAGGCTCGTAGCTGTTTTTCTTAAGAAGGACACATATCAGATAGCTGACTAAACCTGAACATATTTTATAATTAATATATTATGTCTCACAGAGCAGTTCCATGATACAGCCATAGCATGTCTGTGGATCAGACTTAACAGAAGAATCTCATCCATCCAATAATCTGGAGCGGGCATGAAGATCCTTGCCAGTGTACCAAAAGTAGATTTGTTAAGCGAGATCCAGTTTCCAAAACCGAAACCATATTATTTTGAACACCAAGTGCCTCAAAAATGAAACATGATAGTTACACAATTTAATTGAAAAAAATATTCACTGGGCACGTCATATGACTTAAAGTAACAACACGATCTTCAGCAATCAAGTTTGCACTGTCTACAGTGGATACTGAATCCTATCTTCTAGATATGCTCAGCATGTTGGATAGTGCCTTCAAAATTTGGACTAAAACCCAGAATGGATTCACTGCTCATCTGACAGAAGAGCTATGAGTCATGATTGCCAGCGGAGAAGAGAGTGTCTGATAGCAGAAAACATCTGATCAATCACAATGTAGTATGACCCCCAATAACCACAGGGCAAACATTTGTGTGGATATGTGAAACCACATATAACAGTGAATCCTTTTCAGTGAGATGAGCAATGGAAGGGATGAGAAGTGTAGCTTGTACAGGAATTCTTAAGTGAATAACTGGAACCATGGACAAGTGTATTCATTTATGGTTATCAGGGTCATATTCTCCACCTATTGGATGCAACTCTTGAAAATCTTCATACTGAGATATTATATCCACTGAATCATTAAGCTTAATAATATCTCAGCCTTGCTTGGGCTTCATGTGCCTGCACGTAGAGCTGCTGCACGCTAACCTTCTGCTCAATTCCTTATGTAAAGTTAGTCATCTGAATGTCAGTGGTCTGACTTTCAGAAAATCCTCCAGTACTTTCTTACTGGGTAGCAGAGGCTGCAATCAATGGGGAGTCTGTTCCCTTGTCAATCAGGAAGCATCTTGCTGATGCTCCAACACAGACTTAAACAAATTATCTCTGACCCACGTGTGAACTGCTTCTGAAGTGTATTAGGCACTCTTAATATTTATTAGACACTTCTGGAGCAAACTGAACACATCTGAAATGCATTGAACCATTGTGAATTTGCACGCAGCGCTTTGGGCTTTCCCCTAGTGCTCTAGCACTTTCTGGCTGGTGTCTAGATATGCATTAGGAGAGTCCCAATATGCATCAGTGCCATTATACATTAGGGCTGTGGCACATCAATCAATCCACTAGCTATCTTCGCATAACAGATGCCTGCACATTGAAATGTCACAGCAGACCCCAGCCTCCCCAAGTGAATATGGACATGATAAAACCCAATACACTTCAGAGCAATTCACATGTGGGTCAGAAATAATTTCTTTAAGTCTGGGTTGAAACATCAGTGAGATGCTTCCCAATAGATTCTATTTCCCAACTTATAAAGATGAATGCTGAATTCCAACTATATTATTTTTCATATAATGTTTAAGGCAAAGCTGCCCAGGGAAGGGGAAACTAGGACAATTTGTTCCCGATAACTACAAAACAAGCATCTCCTTGTCTCAGCTCCTGTGCATATTGTCAGCAGCAGCCAAAACTAAGCTTCCTTCAGCCACAAAAACACATGATTTCTTATAGAGGGAAGTGCCAGGATTCCAAACATCACACTTATAGAGCTTGGAAAAGTTCCCTGGTCTTGGACTACAATTCCCAGACTCCCTCCCTTGGCCAGCAAGAAGAGGTGAGGAGCAATTGGAAATAAAAGCTGCAATGCATGGTTTGTCCATTTACCAAGTGAATTAACTTCATTGTGACTTTTGTTCTGCTCTCACATGGTTATGTAAAATAAACAGCTTTGCTGCCAACAAAATACTGAAACGCTTTCTGCGAGCTGCCTCAGATGCAAGAATGCCAACATTAGATGACATTTTAGAGCATGTCGGGGAGTTTGGATTGTACCAGAAACGGGCATTTTTGGTCCTGGCGTTGCTCTCTGCTGCCTTCCCACCCATCTATGTTGGTATTGTATTCCTGGGTTTTATACCAGAGCACCACTGTCAGAATCCTGCAACTGCTGAATTAAGAGCCAGATGTGGTTGGAGTCTTGAAGAGGAGCAGAATTACACACTTCCAAAGGAAGTGAATCATGGAAATGCTGTTGCTAGTCAGTGCCAGAGATACGACGTGGACTGGAACATCACTGAGCTGGACTGCACAAATCCAATAGATCTTTTCACCGCTGCTCATGGCAACAAGAGCAGTATTCCACTCATTCCCTGCCAAGATGGCTGGTTTTATGATGGCCACGGTTCATCCATTGTAACTGAGGTAAGAACTGCTTGCATCAATTATTAGCTGTTTACATAGACCATAGTAATATAAAGAACCAAAGCCAAGGCCAGACCTTACTCTTAGAGTAAGGTGGATGCTCTGGGAATTGATGCATAGGAAGAGGGCCAGAAGCAGCAGGGAGATATTGAAGGACAGGATTGTAGGTCCCATCCACAATCCAATCTCCTGCCCTCCAGTGCAGTAAAAGGTTATGTCCTATGATAAATTCCGCATCCATTGCTATGTCTTAAATCAGGGCAGCTACACAAAGGGTAGAATCAGTTTTTGTCCCTCTATTCTGCTCCAAGTAGGCTGTCATGATACTTTTTGTTAACATGGAAGTTAGCAAACATTGCTTCTTGTTTTGATTTCATCATGTTTTGGTGCAGTTTTGCAGTGCATTGGTTATTTGGAAATGATATTTGACTGAATGTTGAAATCATTAGGTTCTTGTGGGTTTTTTCGGGCTATAGAGCCATGTTCTAGAGGCATTTCTCCTGATGTTTCGCCTGCATCTATGGCAAGCATCCTCAGAGGTTGTGAGGTTGTGAGGTCTTCCAACAGACCTCACAACCTCTGAGGATGCTTGCCATAGATGCAGGCAAAACGTCAGGAGAAATGCCTCTAGAACATGGCTCTATAGCCCGAAAAAACCCACAAGAACCTAGTGATTCCAGCCATGAAAGCCTTCGACAATACGTTGAAATCATTATTTTAACTTTTGAATGGGAGGAGGGAGGAGGGAGCAAGCTTGTTTTCTGCTTCCTTGGAGACTAGGACGCGGAACAATGGCTTCAAACTACAAGAGAGAAGATTCCATATGAACATTAGGAAGAACTTCCTGACTGTGAGAGCCGTTCAGCAGTGGAACTCTCTGCCCCGGAGTGTGGTGGAGGCTCCTTCTTTGGAAGCTTTTAAGCAGAGGCTGGATGGCCATTTGTCAGGGGTGATTTGAATGCAATATTCCTGCTTCTTGGCAGGGGGTTGGACTGGATGGCCCATGAGGTCTCTTCCAACTCTTTGATTCTGTGATTCTATGATTCTATGATTCTATGAGAGTTAAAGTGTAGGAGTGCTGAGCATGCAAAAATATAAAGACCTTATGAAGCCCACAGACTACATGTTCCCCATTTCTACCCTGAACTTTGAAAAGTGGGATCCTTTTAGATGACACAGTTATAGCATTCTGATTGCATTTTAAGTGCAATGGGAACATTCTTTGAAATCTTGTTTTTGTTCCAATTTATGGACAAATATTTAGAATTCTCAGGAACAGAGCTCCAATGTCTCACCAAACTACAATTCTCAAGTCTCCTTTGGAGGTAGTCATGCCAGCTGAGGTGGATATATATGTCTATAATAATGTAGTATGAAGGGTTCCTGGGCATCAACGGTCAGCTAAGATACCCATACTAAAGTCTCTCCACTGGCTGCTAAATAGTTTCTGGGCAAAATACAAAGTGTTAGTTTTGACGTGTAAAGCTCTACATGGTTTGGGTCTAGGTTACCTACCACATCACCTTCTCCTGCACAATTTGCCCTTTAGAATACTTAGGTCCTCTGGCAGACACATACCCCAACCAACCAGAACTTTACTGCCGAATGTAACCCAAAGGACTTTTTATCAGTCACCTCCACAACTGTGGAATGACCTGCTGGAAGACATCTGACAGCTAAACTAGCTGTCAGAATTTAAAACACAATTAAAGACCCATCTCTTTCCCCACCTAGTCAACATTCAATCACAAGTTTTGATTTACATTATGTTGCTACTATATATCAATTCTGTATCTGTGTTCGGTGCAAATTTTTATATTTTTGTGGGAGGGGAAGGGAAGGGAATGAAGAGAGGAGGGAAAAGAGTGAAGGAGAGAGGGAGAATTTAGGGATTTTCCTTCTTATCTTGGGGGGCTGAGGGGCTTATAAGAACAGGGTTGCCAGGTGTCAAAGGTGAAAATAAGGGACACAGTTTTACACTATTTGGGTTGCATCGTTTCCACTCTTGAAAGGAAAGGCCCCACACTCTTTCCTCATTCCCCCCCCCTCCCCACACCTAGCCCCCAGAGAAGAGCAAGAAGGGGGAGGGTGTCAGGAGAGGGAGGCGGCTTCACCTGGGAGCTCAGAAGGAAGCAGTAGCAAGAGGATGCCACCACTGCTGCCTCCAACTTAGAGGTGAAGGGGAAGAAGCTGGCCAGGCCTGAATCCACTTCTGTCAGATGCTGGATGCTTTTCCACTGTGTAATGGAAAATAGGAAAATTGACTTCCCAGAATGTACCGGGATGGAGGACATTTTATTCAAATACGGGACTGTTCCTTAAAATCTGGGACACCTGGCAACGTAGTATAGGAGCTTGCAGGAGATGGGGAGAAAGAGGGAAGGGAAGGGAAGGAGAAAAGAAAAGGGAAAAAGAAAGAAAAAAGAGAAGGAAGTGGAGGAAGAAAAGAAAGAAAGGGAAGTGGGAAAAAGATGGGAAGTACTTCAGAAAGCATTGTGTATTGGTTTGAACCTTGGACTATAACATGTACAGCAAACATGCAATGCCGATTATACAATGACAAGCCAGACAAGAGATAGCGGTATATTGTTGAGGCTCACTGCAGTGTCCCTCTATTATAAATTAGTCCAAAAACCTTCGGAGCTTTTGATTGATTGTTGCAACAAGTTTATTTGATCAAGTTACCTTGCTGGGTGGAAAGTGCCACACTGAAATGAGGTGCAATTCAGTTTTCATAGTCAACACCTTTGAGCATGTGCACACAAGCTTTTTCTCCAAACTTTGCCTCATCTTTTTTCTTCATTTGTTCCCTTCTAGGGCCTCTCTTATCTGTGTTGTCTCAGCAGTCTTTTTTTTTTTTTTGCGCATGCAGTATTAGGTTAAACTTTCCCCTAGGCTTGAACTCTCCCCCCCCTTTTTTTTTTTGGTTCCTTACTCCCTTCTGCTTCACAATGCATTAGAGATTTTGTCTGAACTTTATTTTGGCTGGTAACTCTAGCCCCTACACTACCTTTGTACCAAGTTCCTGTATGTTCTTTAATCTGAATTTTCTTTTGTTTTTAGTTTGACCTGGTATGTGAGGATGGCTGGAAACTGGATCTGTTTCAGTCATGTGTGAATGTGGGATTCTTTGTTGGTTCCATAGGCATTGGATACATGGCTGACAGGTTGGTATGATTCTATAAATTAGGGGAGGAGTCTTAATATTTCTATATGTGCACCTGCACTGTAGAATTAAAACAGATTGATGCTATTTTAACTACCATGGCTGAATTCTATGGAATCATGGAGTTATAGTTTTACAAGGTCATTACCATCCAAATGTACCCTCTATGAACCCTCTCGGAGATTAAGATTGTCTGGGGAGGCCCTGTTCTCGGTCCCACCTCCTTCGGCGGCATGATTGGTTGGGCTGAGAGACAGGGCCTTCTCAGTGGTGGCCCCTCAGCTATGGAACTCCCTCCCCAGTGAAATCAGATCAGCTCCTTCTCTCCTGACCTTCAGGGGAAAACTTAATATGTGGCTTTGGGACCAAGCTTTTGACAAGTAATTGGAACAGTGCAATAAGTGGCTATGAAACAATGTGATTGACAAACAGAACGGCCCTGAATTATATTTTGGTTGGCATGATTTTAACTGTTGATTTTAATAATTCTGGTTTTAATTGTTTGATTTTATTTGTAATTGTGTATTTGATGTGTGCATGGCATCAAATTGCTGCCTGTTGTAAGGCCACCTTGAGTCCCCTGCGGGGTGAGAAAAACAGGATATAAATATGGTAAATAAATAAATAAGTCAATTTAACCTTTTCTGCCAAAGACTGCTGAAATGATATTAAACTGCATTTATTCTACAATGGAGTGTGACTGATTTGGCAAGGAGTAAATCCATTTGCTGTGTTTACTCCCATGGCATTTGTTGTGATAAGAATCATCAGCCTTCATTTATTGGTAAATAACAACACATGCTATTTTTCTCTATAGGTTTGGCCGTAAACTGTGCCTGTTAATCACCATCCTTATCAATTCCATCTCTGGAGTTCTTGTGGCTGTTGCACCAAGCTACGTCTGGGTGGTGATCTTCCGCCTAATACAAGGGTTGGTTAGTAAAGGAGGCTGGTTAACAGGCTACATCCTGAGTAAGGCTCTTTATTGTTGTGTCCTTCAAGGATTATATAAGTAAATTTAAACATTCAGTAGATTTATTGTTGCACAATTAATTTAAGGAGCTGTAAGCCCAGAGCATAGACCTAAGGGGAAATTTATGCATGTCTAGTCAGAATAGAAAGTGGGTCGTGGGCTGTACTCCCAATTAATTGTGTTTTGAGTGGCACATTAACTAACTGATCAGTGCTGGTCAAAATGTAAATGGGGGAGCTAATCAAAGACTGTTCTATTTATTGCATTTTATTGAAATATATGGGGGGAGAACCCTAATAAAAATTAATTAAAAAGAAAAAAGAAATACATGAGACAGAAGAAAATATTAAACATATCCTTCTAACAAGGATTGGTGGCTTTCCATACTAAATTTAAAGTTGTATATTATCTCCTTTAACACTACTCCATTCTGAACAATGGCAAAACTGATAGCACTAGAAAAATCAATTAACTAAAGCAACATAATAAGAATCCATATTCTTTTGATAACAAGATAGCTGAAAAATCTAAATAAATCATATACCTGATGGAGTCGGCTTTAGCCCATTAAAGTTTACACGATTACCTTGTTAGTCTTCCAGGTGCTATAAGGATCCTGTCAGTTTTATTGCAACAGATTGATACGGTACCCATGGGATGCTTCCCATTTATTTATGTAGCATGTCAAGCTTAGAGTATTTTCAACCAGTTTAAATTGTTCTAAGTCATAACAAAACTGGAATATACTGAATGCTTCTGATTTTTACTACCCACAATGTTTTAAATGCCAACTACTGAAAGTATTACACTTCCACTTATAAAAAAAAGTCTTAATATATTTAAATTTATTAAATCCACAAAGATCAAGATGGCTTTTATAATAAGAGCTTAATTATTATAGGCATAAACGCAGGCATAACTGTAGCTGTGAAAATGAAAACCTGGATAGACATGACAATCCTGGAGGACAACAGAATCAAAGATGGAAAAGATTATGAAATATAAGGACCTACACCCTCAGATTCAGCAGCTCTAGGAAGAATAAACAATTATGATTCCAGTAATGAAGTGTCAAAACATCTGGATGAGGACAGGGCATTACACCATCACAACATACTGCCAAGGAAGCTTTCTTTTGTCTTTCCACGTGGTGTATTTCTCCAACTACTGAGACACAAAAGAAGTCTCTTGTGAGAGAGGTTAATGATCAGTCTGGCACACACATATATATACATAAGGAATCTATAGATTCACTAACCTTTACATAATTCCCCCTTACTTATGTTGATCATGTTTTTTTATCTTTTCAAAGTCACAGAATTTGTTGGACTGGAATACAGAAGAACAGTTGCTATAGTCTACCAAATGGCCTTCACTGTTGGGCTCCTAATATTTGGTGGTATTGCTTATGCAATTCCTCACTGGAGATGGCTACAACTTGCTGTCACACTGCCAAATTTCTTCTTCTTGCTGTATTACTGGTAAACAAGACTTCATTGTAGTAAGGAAAGGTCATTAGTAAAACATAAGCATTGACAAATACAACTGACAACATAATGAGCTATGCCTGATTCCTCTTGGTTAGCCCTAATTAAGAGTTTCTGATACTTTGTTTCATGTTCAAAATTATTCAGAATCTTTTGTACAAAATTAGCTACTGTGTATGTGTATAAAGTGTTTATAGAACATTGTTGGAATGTTAACATGTAAATGTTAACATTCCAAAAGCCTGGGGGCGGGGGGGCGGGGAGAGAATTCCAAAATCCCCCAAACTCCCATTCACAGGCATAAAGGGTACTCAACCTGTACATGTATTGCAAGCCATTCTCTTCGTGTTTTAGGTGCCTTCCAGAGTCCCCAAGATGGTTGATAGCCCAGCAGGAAGGCGATAAAGCTCTGAAAATAATAAAAAACATTGCCAAGGCAAACCAGAAGAAGCTACCTTCATTTATGGAGGTAAGCCCACATATTTTCCCTTTAAAATATTTATTAATTGAAAATTAGTTCTTATATTAGTAAAGGTAAAGGTTTTCCCCTAACATTAAGTCCAGTTGTGTTGAACTCTAGGGGTTGGTGCTCATCTCCATTTCTAAGCCGAAGACCTGGCGTTGTCCATAGACACCTCCAAGGTCATGTGGTCAGCATGACTGCATGGCACGCCGTTTCCTTCCTGCCAGAGCGGTTCCTATTGATCTACTCACATTTGCATGTTTTTGAACTGCTAGGTTGGCAGAAGCTAGGGCTGAAAGCGAGAGCTCATGCCACTTCCGGGATTCGAACCTGCAACCAGGTTTACCAGCTCAGCATTTTAACTCACTGTACCACCGGGGACTCCAGTTCTTATGTTATTTAATACTTTGTTTTCTGATGGAGGGTTGGACAATTAAACAAATCTTCAAGTTTTCAGCAAAATTACATTTGCCTTTTAAAAATTGAATAATATGTCTATAAGTTCTTATATTATAAGCATATTATTCAAATTTTAAAAGGCAAATGTCATTTTGCTGAAAACTTGAAGATATGTTTAATTGTCCAATCCTCCATCAGAAAACAAAGTATTTTCTGTTAGTCATTGAGGTTCTGTGTGGGAAATTTGGCACAATTCTAAAATTGGTGAGGTTCAGAATGCTCTTTGGCTATAGATGAATAATTAATCCCAGCAATTACAACTCCCAAATGTCAAGGTCTATTTTCCCCAAACTCCACCAGTGTTCACATTTGAGCAGATTGAGTATTTGTGCCAAGTTTGGTCCAGATTCATCATTGTTTGAGTCCACAGTGCTCTCTGGATGTAGGTAAACTACAACTCCAAAGGTCAAGGTCAATGCCCACCAAACCCTTCCAATATTTTCTTTTGGTCATGGGAGTTCTGTGTGCCAAGTTTGGTTCAATTCCATCAGTGGTGGAGTTCAGAATGCTCTTTGATTGTAGGTTAACTATAAAACCCAGCAACTAGAACTACCAAATGACAAAATCAACCACCCCCTGCCAATTCCACCAGTATTCAAATTTGAGCGAATCAGGTATTTGTACCCAATTTGGTCCAGTTAATGAAAACACATCCTGCAGATCAGATATTTACATGATTCATAACAGTAGCAAAATGACAGTTGAAGTAGCAACAAAAATAATTTTATGGTTGAGGGTCACCAGAACATGTGGAACTGTATTAAGGGGTTGCGGCATTAGGAAGGTTGAGAAGCATTGTTGTAAAGAAAACCTCATGATAAGGTCATCTTAGGATAACCATAAGTTGGAAACAACCTGAAGGCATACAACAATAAATTGGAGAACAAAGCTATGGTCTGCCTTGAAAAATATTAGGGGCAAATCTGCAGCTCACAGATACAGTAAAGGATATGCTTTCTCCACATTTTCTTTGTAATTGTATGTAAATAGTAGTAAAACAGGAGTTGGAAGCAAGCTTGGAGAATCTGATTGGCTGGGCAAGCATGTGCATAGTTCTCACTAGTATAGTGGACAGGATCCGTAACATGGAACAATTTTTGACATTACAATTTGGAGAAAGTAATTAAAAGTGTGTCACGTGTATGGATGTACTTGTCTATATTGATAAGCCATTAAAACACAGACCTTTTTCATCTCTGTGCTAGAGGAATTTGCATGGCTAGTCCTTGTAAAATCCATCATGATAGCTTTGGGGATTGTTCTTTTCTAAAATAATGATTAAACAAAACGGGGCAGGAAAATGAGAAAAGATCTCTGAAAACACATTAAGGGAAGTCCTCTAGCTTTCTTTTTTTTCTGGAAGTTTATCTTGAACCCCTGAAAAAATCGTTTAAAGTTTTCAAGCTCAATCCTTTTTCCTCGCATCTCCCTCCTCTCCTCTAAGTACCACACATGGCTTCATTTGATCTTTTAGAACTTACAGTCTGAGGAAGATGGGGAAGGAAAGCTACGCCCTTCGTTTCTAGATCTCGTGAGAACACCACAAATAAGGAAACACACTATCATCTTAATGTATACTTGGTAAGAAATTGTCATTAAAAAAACCCTTTCCCCTCAAAAACACATTTTTAATATTAGTCACTCTCCATCAAAATGTTCCAAACCCTCTGGTACATGTAATTCACAAGGTAAAACCACATATTTTCCATACTGCAATGTGTTAACTAGAACCCCATAGACACTTTCCGCACCTTACAATGCCACTTCTTCTGAAAACCAAACACTAGTCTCTGTTGTACTTCTATATTGAAATGTGAAGCTTTCTTTCAGAACTTCAACACAGCTTCGAAAAAAAAATTTTTTTTTGGATTACTGCTTTTTAATTCTCCTGCCACTAGAGCTGGATGTGGGATTCTAGAAATTGTAATCCAAAATATAGTTTTTTTCTTTACTCTGCAGGGTGGACTTTCTGGATGAGTAATATCTTGGGGAAAGATATAGCTTCATTTGGCCTCTATTCTTTGTCTAGGTTTACAAGCTCGGTACTATATCAGGGCCTCATCATGCACATGGGAATAGCTGGCGGCAACATTTATCTGGATTTTTTTTACTCTGCTCTTGTTGAATTTCCAGCTGCCATCATACTCATACTCACAATTGACCGCATAGGCCGTCGCTATCCTTGGGCTGCAGCAAACCTGCTGGCAGGAGCTGCCTGTCTCGTTACAGCCCTTGTTCCTGAAAGTAAGTGTCAGGGATTATCACGTGTGCCATTTATGTGCCAATAATTATCACATTTATTCGTAATCTGTTTATGAGTTACAAGGCTTCCCCCCCCCCCCCCATAGCACTCTTTCTAGTGTTCTCCTTAGGGGAAAAGGTCATATATACTGACTCTCCCTTATGCAGAAATTCAAAATATTCCAAAAACCTTTTTTTTTTTTTTTGCTACCAGTTGCCCTTGGAAGTGGCGACAAGGGTACATGTGGAGTGGCCCTATTCGAGTGGCCCTGTATCCAGCCCAGAGAGAATAAAAACTCTCACAGAAGTGGGGGAGAGAAATTTTCCCCTCCATTCTTGGTTACTTTGCTAAAAGGGAAGAAATTGTGTTATAGTCCTGGAAGAGAAATTCTGCTAGTGCTGAATGTTCAACTCACCCATTCCCCCCCCCCCCATCTTTCAAATTACTGTGTTTATACAAAAACAAGTATTCCAAAATCTGAAAAAAAAAAATCTGATCCCAAGCATTTTGGATAAGGGAGACTTAGCCTGTATATATACTTCTATCTTTTGTAACTGTTTGTTGAATTGTAGCTCACCGGTGTGAGGAAGCTGGACACATCATCCATCAGCACACCACTCACTAGTGTTGCAACACTCCATTTTTTAGTGCAGCTGCCTTGCTTTTAGTGGGAGTGGATAGGAGGGATTTACAAGATCATAAGTTTAGCCCATGAAATTGTAAACACATAATAAGAAGCAAGCCAAATGTCTTATCACTGATGAAGACCTACTGAAACAACTTTATAATCCTGCAAGTAGTTGCCTCAATCCTCAATGTGCTTGTGACACACAACTGCTTGGAGACAGGTATTTTGTCTATGTCTCTAGATTTGAATCATTTTTTTATATTTGTGTATTTTTATATGGTATATAATTTATGTTTACAATGTTGGTTTTAATTCTATTAATGATCTTGTACCTGGACCCTTGCAATTTTCATAAAGATCAAATAGACCCAGTAAGGTTGGTTTCTGCTGCCTGAAGTAGATATTTTTTTAATATCAAATGTTATCAGGAAAGAAAATCCATGAGAAGCCAGGGAAACATTCAGCAGAAATTCTTTTGCAATGTCTTTTCAGATCTCTATTGGCTTAGAATGACGGCTGCTTGCTTGGGCAGAATGGGTATCACAATGTGCTTTGAAATGGTTTGCTTAGTCAATGCAGAACTATTTCCAACATTCCTCAGGTGAGTGAAACCTCTTCAGAGACTCTAAGACAGACCTGGGTAAACTTTGGCCCTTCAGGTGTCTTGGACTTCAACTCCCACAATTCCTAACAATCGGATCTGCTCTAGTATGAAACAACATCTCTTCTCATAGCAGTGATGCTGTTAGACCAGGAACCCCAAATAGACAGGAATGACTGTCTGTAGCATCATGAAAACACTGTTCCTTACCACTGACTGGGTTGTTCAGAGTAAAGGGAAGCATGTGGGCAGCAAGTGGCCAGGGAAGACGTCTGCCATATGCTTTTTAAAAGGGGTTTCTTGAGTACTAGGAAGCTGAACCACCAGGTGTTAGAAGATGGGAGACAGGAACAGACTTCATAAATATTCTGGTATTCCATTTATTTCAGCTGATTTTGAAATGTCTCTGTTTTTCTGGCCTCATCCCTCTTTCCATCTTTGTCCTCAGTTATTTCAGTTGCTGCAAACTGAGATCCCATCTACACTGACCATTTAATGCAGTTCCAAACTGGTATTGAAGAAAGTGGTTCAGCTTGAGGACAGGATGGAGATTACACAAACCACAGAGCACGTGTGTGCATTAAGGAAAGGGGTTTTTAAATGCACTATTGTAGGTGTTTGTTGTTTATCCATCATAGTTTGAAGCTATCTTTGAACTGCATTAAATGGTCAGCATAGATTGGGCCTATGCACTCAGTTGACTTGGTGGGGAGAGACAGGGCAGATTCTTGCCAATCCCAGTGGAGTCAGGGAAAAGCAAACTGCTGCGGCCCTCCTAGTTTGTGTATGCTTTCTCATTAATCCGTGTTTTTTTTTCCATCTTGACTACAACCCAATTATGTTTCTTCACATTTGTCCTGGCCTCCATCTGAGAAATGTTGGAGGATGTATGTATCTGTGTGAGGGTGGGGAAAGGCTTAGTAATAAATAGACTTCATTGGAAGTGGATTGCTTAAGACTTTGTCTTCCCGAGTCAAAACTTGTAAAAGTGCCTTTTTGTGCAGTAGAAGAGGATACCTTTAGGTGTGTTGTTGCTCCTTTAAGGTGCAGCTGTACAATTTGTAAATTTTTGTTTCAAGTGCATTCCTGAGCAGAGGAGCAGACTGCTTGCAATATCCTTCCTGGCTGAATCCGAGGAAACTGTGAAAGATTACTCATTCAGCTTTTGCATCACAATACAATAATCCCTTTAATCCCTTTCACAATCCCTTGTGAAATCACAAGGACTAGTACTTGTGATTTCATTTATCCATATCTGACAAAATATGTCTTCCCTAGGCATTTTCTACAGGCTCCAATTCTGCTTTGGTATTCTTGGGCCAGAGTCTTTCATTTCAATAGGATTCGCTATTCTCCACAGTTTAATATATCCATTTGAAGTCCAGGGACATATCCCCTACCGGATCATACTTTATGGAAGAAATTATTATATTGGGATTATACTATATGGAAGAAATAAATCATTACATGCCAACATTTTATTGTCAAAGTGGCTATAATGCTGGCTTCTATTAAAAGAAAAACACCAAGAGTATCATTTAACTCCCTTCAAAGCCTGACAGACAAAAACAAAAAAAGGGAGAGAATATGGATCAATTCTACTTTTGCTCATTTTTTCAGTAATTAATCACAGTTCTCAATAGAGAATTCTTCAGAGACAGCATTCATGGTTATCCTATGCACATGTGTTTGCTTTTGTATTTTAAGGAACCTGGGGGTCCTTGTCTGCTCTTCCATGTGTGATATAGGTGGGATCATAACTCCGTTCATTGTCTATCGGCTGGCAAATATCTGGAATGAATTGCCACTTGTCGTCTTTGGTAAGAATTTGATCTTGTTCTTTTATGCCAAATGAGAATATATAATGCTTTTAGAGTACTATGTGAGAGGATCCTCAGCTATAGATATATCTAGCAGTCAAGAAGTTCAGCTAGAAGCTGTGAATCCACAGGCACTGACACTGGGGGGGGGGGGGGGGGGGGGGGGTGACAAATTGTATCTCAAATCATGTGTGCTGTTTTATGCAATAAAGACAGACCATACTTACATACCTGACCGCTAGATATATATTTTGAAATGCCGAGGCGGGAAGGGATGTCATTGCAATAGAGTAAAATCCTTTCACCCAAGGGAGCTCTTTCTGCAGTTTCACTTACCTGCGTCATTGCTCCCAGAAGAGTTTATAGGTATCTCCCAATTCTCCAGGGCAACTTCATGGTATTTTTGGGTCATAAGGTGACCTCCCACCTTCAAGCATTTGTACAAATGTGTGAGAAAGTGTCTATTGGGAGCGGATCAGCTTCAGATGCAGAGAGATTCTTCCCAGCCTGGGGAAGCATTGTTCCCAAGCCCTCTTTAACTCTGTAGTGAACTCTTAGAGGGTAAAGTTTTAGCAACCAATCACCCTATGAAAATACAGGATTTTGAACTATTTGCAGTTTTAGGTATCTTGGGGGAAGGGATCTTAGAATGTATCTCCTGCAGATAAGGTGGTCTGACTGGCCTGCTTATGAACTCCCGACTATTATCCCAGCCCATTTTCTGCTTATGCATATCTCCATCAGAAAGTTGAAAGTGGATTACCTAGTGTTACCAGAACTGACCTTGCCATAGGTGGATAGGCAAGATTCCATTTCAATTTTCTCAATGCCTTCTTATGAACCCACCAAGTATTGTTTAAAAATTAAAGTGGCAACTCCAAGTCATTCTTGGAATGTTATTGCTGCCCCTGCGAAGTTATCCTGAGGAAGTTAATAAGTGTTAATGAGAGTACTTTGTTCAAAGCTCCCTCAAGCTTACTTATTGTCTGCTATCTTGACTGCTGTTGGGTATGGGAGCTGACAAACATCCTTAGGATTCTAAAAACACAATCAGAGGAAATGATAGGAAGCTATTTGTCAAGACCTGTGACTATATTTTTGGTCATTCTAGGGTCCATTCACTATGCACTAATATCCTGTTACTTATGTTAAGGTGTCCTTTATATTTTTTTCTGAATTTTTAGCAGAAAATATATGTTCCTTGCATATAGTGAATTTCTAAAACAGACAGGTAATTTTCCATTTTATGGGGGAAAAAACCAGATCATTCATACATATTATGTGGAGGAGTGGAGAAACAACTTCCAACTACAAATATCTGTCATTCCCTGCAATACACAGCAGCGATGCATTTTTGGCATGACTAACATACTTCTGAAATGCTTTAGTATTGCTTAATGCTATTTTGAAAACCATAAGCACATAGCATGACTTCAACTGATCTTTTGTTTGTGCTGTGTTTCCGTTTTCAAGCTGTGATTGGCCTCATTGATGGTGTTTTGGTACTACTCTTACCAGAAACCAAAGGAAAAACTTTACCGGAAACAATAGAAGAAGCTGAAAATTTGTACAGGTATAGTCCTATTAACATGTGCTAAAGCAGGAGAAAACAACTACAACCCTCCAAAAACTTGTGGATTGCTGCTGCCGTGATTCCTAATTTCTGGATAGGGCTGGTGAAAGCTTTATGCTACTATTATCTGGAGAAGCATTATGAGCCAACGGTGTCTCCTCAGTACCAGAGTAACATTGTTATTTCTGATCTATGACAACCCTATGGGAAACAGGGCTTTCTGGGCATGATTTGTTCAGAGTAGATTTCCCACTGCTTTCCTCTGAGGTTCGGAGAGAGTGATTGACCCAAACCACCCCTGGTTGATCAGTGCTCCTAATCTCCAAAGCCTTGAGACTCAAACCTCTGCACCACACTGGGTCTCCACAATTGCCTACAAAAGCTTTATTCAAACTAGGGGTAGGAAGAATACTTACACATTATCTCAGTGTCAGGTAGAAAGGGTATCTTGACATGTATCAGACAACAACTGGAGGTGAAAAATTATAAACCACCATGGGAAGAAAGATAGAGAAAGAGAGCCCAGTAGGCTCAAGAAAAATCAAACTTTTTTTCTCAGCTTCTCCTAGTTTGTGTGTTCTTCCGCAATAATGTCTTTCGCCATTTTGACCACAATTAAATGCTGCTTGACCATACTTGTGCCATGTTTGACCTGTGAAGTGCAAGTAAATCTGGATACTATTCTGGCCAATCTATATGTTTCACTATCATCTGTTATAGTTGGCTGACGCTCCTGATATGGATATCCCTATTTGCCTGCTGGGGTATGAGCATTTAATCTGTAGTAGCTCCAAGAGCTATCAGCAGCATCCATCTACTCATAACTGTCTGGAGCCATTTTAGACTGACGACTTCATCACATGGACTTCTTGCTCTGTCCTAGGACTCTTCCAGGACGGACCCAAGATGGAGACCTCCAGAGCCCTTCACACGATGCAGGGCTACTTCCACTGGGGCTCTGTCTTGGAAGCATCCTAGGACAGAGTCCAAATTTATTTATTTATTTATTTCATTTACTTATACCCCGCCCTTCTCACCCCAGGGGGGACTCAGGGCGGCTTACAGTGGGGGCACAATTTAATGCCCAAGACAATACACAAACAATACAGATACAATCAATTCAACAATTAACTAAAAACATCAACATATAATAAAATCATAAAACAATCTCATGCTTTTAAAACAATCTCATGCTCAGGGTTCAGAGTCCATATTTCATTCCATTCCATTTGTCCTTGTCTATCGTCAGATCCTTACTTTAGTTGTCAGAATGACCAAAGGCTTGATCCCAGATCCAGGTCTTCAGTTTTTTCCTAAACACCAAGAGGGAGGATGCCGATCTAATCTCCCCGGGGAGTGAGTTCCACAGGTGGGGGGCCACCACTGAGAAGGCCCTGCTCCTCGTCCCCGCCAGCCTCACTTGTGAGAGTGGCGGGGTCGAGAGCAGGGCCTCCCCAGAAGATCTTAAACTTCGAGGTGGGATGTAGAGGGAGATCCGTTCGGACAAATACACTGGGCCGGAACCGTATAGGGTTTTGTAGGTCAAAACCAGCACTTTGAATTGTGCTCGGAATTGGATCGGCAGCCAGTGGAGCTGGCGCAACAGGGGGGTGGTATGCTCCCTGTACGCTGCTCCGGTGAGCAATCTGGCTGCTTCTCGCTGGACTAGTTGCAGTTTCCGAGCAGTCTTCAAAGGCAACCCCACGTAGAGTGCGTTGCAGTAATCCAACCGGGATGTGACAAGAGCGTGGACCACCGTGGCCAGATCAGACTTCTCAAGGTACGGGCGCAGCTGGCGCACAAGTTTTAATTGTGCGAAAGCTCTCCCGGCCACCGCTGAGACCTGGGGTTCCAGGCTCAGCGATGAGTCCAGGATCACTCCCAAGCTGCGAACCTGTGTCTTCAGGGGGAGTGTAACCCCGTCTAACACAGGCTGTAACCCTATACCCTGTTCGGCCTTACAACTGACCAGTAGGACCTCTGTCTTGTCTGGATTCAATTTCAATTTGTTAGCTCTCATCCAGTCCGATACAGCAGCTAAACACCGGTTCAAGGTCTGGACAGCCTCCTTGCTGACAGGTGGGAAGGAGTGACAGATTTGGACATCATCTGCGTAGAGATAACATCTCATTCCGAAACTCCGAATGATCTCTCCCAACGGTTTCATGTAGATGTTAAATAACATCGGGGACAGAATTGAACCCTGTGGGACTCCACACAACAACGGTTGTGGGGCCGAACAGGTGTCACCCAATAACACCTTCTGGGTCCGTCCCTCAAGGAAGGATCGGAGCCACTGCAAAGCAGTGCCCCCGAGCCCCATATCCATGAGGCGCCCCAGAAGGATACCGTGATCGACGGTATCGAAGGCTGCTGAGAGGTCCAGCAGAACTAACAGGGACACACTCCCCCTGTCTAGCTCCCTGCGTAGATCATCTACCAAGGCGACCAAGGCTGTCTCAGTTCCATGTCCCGGCCTAAAGCCAGACTGTGCCAGATCTAGATAATCAGTGTCTACCAGAAACCCCTGGAGTTGTGTTGCCACCACACGTTCCATGACTTTGCCCAAGTAGGGGAGATTGGAAACTGGCCGATAGTTGTCGAATTGAGTGGGATCCAGTGATGGTTTCTTCAACAGCGGTTTTATAATAGCCTGTTTTAGGCTCGCTGGAAATTTTCCTTCTTGTAAGGAGGCATTAACCATCACCTTCACCCACTCCGCCAAACCCCCTCTGGCTTCCTTGATCAGCCAGGATGGGCAGGGGTCTAGGATGCATGTGGTGGGTCGCACCTCTCCAAGGATCCTGTCCACATCCTCAAACTGAACCAATTGAAAAGAATCCAATAAAACTGGACAAGCAGATGCTCTCGTTACATCCCCAGAGACTGCCGTTAACATGACGTCAAAACCCGACCGAATCCGCTCAATTTTATCCGCGAAGGATCGAGCAAATGCTTCACAGCGAGCCACCGAGTTGTCCGAGGCCTCGCTTTTTGGCGGATTTAACAGGCCCCTGACAACTCGGAAGAGCTCCGCCGGACGATTCTTCGCTGATGCAATATTGGCCGTGATGAATATTTTCTGAGCACCAAAGAACACAGGAGGTTTCCCATGTTCTCATTACTTAGAATGGTGCCAGTGCAACATCTTCCCTGTGTGATGGGGAAAGCGGAGATGCGGCAAAGCCGATGATGCAGGCAATGCAGAGCATGGCGTGACAGTTTCCCCCACTGTTCCACGGATTTGCCACACTGCTGACAAATCCCCCCACTGTCACCCATGTTTGGGACCTCAATGTGATGAGGTCCCTGGTTCCACCTGACTCTCCCCCATTTTACTATGACAGCAGTTGAGTCCCATGAATTTCCCAATGTGCCTGAATATCATGTTGCTACTCTGTTCCAAAGCAACATGATATTCAGGCACATTGGGAAATTTTAAATGGTAGATGGCCACCATTTTTAGGGTAATGTGTGATACTGCCTCAGAAGTATATCTTTAGTAGTGTGATAGTTTTCAACACATTTCTAATATGTGTTCAATCTGTTCTTCTGTTTTTATTTCCACAGACAAGGAAAGCCCAAAGAAAACATTATTTATCTTCAGGTTAAAACATCAAATGTGGCACCTTATTAAGGATAGTTTTCTCCAAGATTTTCTCCCTTCTGGTGATACATGAAGGAAGGGGAATGATATCCCTTGGCATAATTCATTAAATTCTGTAACCCTCTGATTCTTTGCTCCTTCTATGACTCCAGTGTCATTTTCAGGATTCTGCTGTCCTGGAGAGAATAAGATCGTATAGACAGTGCATCCCAGTGTAGCTTTGGGGAGTTGTTCTGTTTGAGGATGCCACAGTGCTAGGAGATGCATATAAGCAAAAATCAAATGCATTCAGACAGATATAAGCATGTGCAAGATTCTCTGACTCTAATAGGCAACAGACAAGCATGTGTTTAACTTCTGCATTGAAATAAATTGGAAAGAAGTATGTTTAATGTTGGCCTGACTCTGTACCAAGCAAAAGTTGTCCAACAACAAATTGCCTTTTTTTAAAATTGAAAACTTCTCTGTGCCCTTGGCATCTTTTTAAAGTCCCCCTGATGTAGATTTTAGCACATTCATAATTAGGGGGTGCATCTTCATGATAGAATTGACCCAGTTTGATTCCACGACCACCCATATCTCAATGCTATTGATTCACGGGAGCTGTAGTTTTAGAAGGCGTTTAAGCTTTCTCTGCCAAAAAGTGCTGGTGCATCATCAAACTCTCAATCCTAGAATCTCACAGCATTGAGACATGGCAGTTAAAGTGGTGTCAAACTGCATTAATTTTACACTGTAGATGCACCCAAAGTTTAGCCATAGCCATTGATAGAGGCTTATGGGACTCGAAGTCCAAGCAGAAGCTGCACACCCATAACTTGACTACTCTAGCTCTGGATTTCTTGTCTCAAGTAGGAAACTGGACTCGATAGCTTACAAACTCATCCAAGAGAAAGAGAGGAATCAACATTAAGTCAAAACGTAAAACAAAATTACCAAAAACAATAGATGCATGATACATTATGTTTAATATTTCTTACTGTAAATACATTTCAAGGGAGCCCCTGGTGGCATAGTGGGTTAAACCGCTGAGCTGCTAAACTTGTTGACTGAAAGGTTGCAAGTTCAAATCTGGGCAGCGGTATGAAATCCCGCAATTTGAAAACATGCAAATGTGAGTAGATCAATAGGAACCACTGAGGCGGGAAGGTAATGGCACTCCATGCAGTCATGCCGGGCACATGAACTTGGAGGTGTCTACGGACAACGCCGGCTCTTCAGCTTAGAAATGGAGATGAGCACCAACCCCCAGAGTCAGACATGGCTGGACTTAATGTCAAGGGAAAACCTTTACCTTTACCTTACCTTAAATACATTTAAACTAATCAAGTTCTCATTGCTTTGGGATGGCATATTCGTTTGTTTTGTTTTTTGTGTTTTTGTACTTTCTATGAAACCACCCCTTTTCATTCTGAATCTATGTCCATTGTCTTTCAGTAGATATGACTGCAATCCAAACTATTCACTGATGCCATTAAAATAAATTCGATGGCACAGAAAGAAAATTATTGTAGATGTGTTTTGTGTTTAAATTTCATCAGCCAAACCATTTAGTTTCATAAACTCTATTAAATGTCTTGATGAATTTTTAACGTGATGAATCTGGAACTTCATTGTGCAACTGACAGGACATTACTTTCAAGGGAAAGGCTACAAGGTTTTAGTGAAAGATCCTGATGAAATTAATAGGAGAAAGCTGTAGAGAAAGTAGATTACCAAACTAACAGAATATTATCTTCAGGGAGAAGGCTACAATAATATTAGTGAAGGAAAGAAGCACACCCTGCCTTACAAAATGTTGCTTGTGGTAAATAAAAGAAGTGAAAGTTAACAAGACTCCCTTCCAGTGCTAATCAATTGTGCAAAAGGTCAGAGACATAAGTGACTTCCACTTAACTATATACAGTATCCAGCATTTAATGAGGTCTGGAAACCTTTAGCATTTATATACGTAGAATTTTTTTCCCTTCTGGCTGGCTTTAGGTGCTTATCCAGCCAACTTCTGTCTGTGCATTTAACAGACACAGATTCATTTGGGAAATGTATGAATCGGAGCAAAAGAAGTTGAGAATTACTATAGTGGTCAATTTGGTTTTATTTTTGCCATTAATTTAACCCTTGGGGTACTGCATCCTATGTACATTTGCACACACGCCTTACTCTATCTTATCCTTTCTCCTCAGATATTTGATCATACAAAGCCATTATTTAAGCTCGTGGCAAACAATAAATCAGTTTGGGCCCATGGTAGTTCTGACTTGTTTGAATAGTTGATGTCTGCCTCGAAAGTCTCTCTTAATTTGAGTTTTCTTGGAGGAAAGTATCCAGGTTTTTAAAATGCCTTTGTACCACAACTCAAAAAGGTTATTATTTTTATGATCACTTTCCATATCTCCCATTTTCCCATGTTAGCTAGCTAGGAAAGCTAAGAAGCAATACTCTTAAAAAGTAATTTTTTCAAACTCTGGCTTCTACTCAATAAAACATTATTTCTCATCATGATAAATGATATTGTCTCTTCAGACCCAGCCCAAATTGTCAGCCTGGCATCAATTCCTCAAGAGGACGGATATCTCTGAAGATGGAAAATCCATCCTAATGGAATGCATAGAAGAGGTGGGAATGTCAGGAAGAGTTGATGAGGAAAGGGGATAAGAACAGAAAAACAAATTACAGAAAAATGGAATATTTTTCAAATTTAAATATCACTCTTCTGTCAAGAATTTAAAGGACAAACTAGCCATTATATGTTACATGGCAGAAAAGGTACTATGGCTTAAACTGGGGAAGAAAGGGAAGGCAGAGTTGTTTACTGAGATGAATCAGCACATCTTTAAGGAAAGGATTCAATGTTGGCAGCTTCTTAGCTTAGAAAAAAGTCAAGTTTTTGATAGATTTGGTAAATGGAGATAAGAGTAGGAGAAATTCTTTGGGGTTCCAATGACATCTTTTGGAACTGCACACTATACATTTTAGCACATTAAGGGATATGATTTAATGCTGCACACTGGGAGCCCCCAGGTGGTGCAGCGGGTTAAACCGCTGATCTGCTGAACTTGCTGTCTGAAAGGTCAGCTGTTCTAATCTGGGGAGCAGGGTGAGCTCCCTCTGTTAGGTCCAGTTTCTGCCAACCTAGGAGTTCAAATCATGCAAATGTGAATAGATCAATAGGTACCGCTCCAGCGGGAAGGTAACAGCACTCCATGCAGTCATGCTGGCCACATGACCTTGGAGGCATCTACGGATAACACCTGCTCTTTGGCTTAGAAATGAAGATGAGCACCTCCCCCCAGAGTCAGACATGACTAGACTTAATGTCAAGGGGAAACCTTTACTTTTATTAGTGCTATGAATCCACAATTACTACCATGGTTCCTTTCTACAGAATCCCAACCTTGGTAAGACCTAGAGCAGGCCAGTACAACCTGTGGCCCTCCAGGTGTTTTGAACTTCAGCTCCCAGAATTCCTGCCCATTAAACAAGCTGGCTATGGCTTCTGGGAGTTGGAGGCCCAAACACCTGGAGGGCTGCAGATTGTGCAGGCTTGCCCTGGAGCTCTCTAGCTAGGAATGAGAAATATCCCTCCCACAATTGCAAATCCCAGGGATCCACAGCCTTCAAATGAAAAACATAGTGCTATAATTTTGTAGTGTAAAAGGGTTCCAAATTGTGATGTAACACCATTTTGTCCTAAGAATGTATCCAGGCTGCAATAAGATAAAAAGAATTATAAACAACTTCATCCATTCCATGTTGAAGTGAAAGACCCACCCCACCCTTGAATGTGTCTGCTAATAGAGGCATTGCTAGTAACCACTTCTTTTTGAGGAGGGAGAACTAGGGAGGGGGGAATATGTTCAGCCCAAATGAGACAAGGGAGATGGATTATGTGTGTGACGCATGTTTCCCCACAAGACCATGTGAACTGAGCAGCCACTTCAAAGCTCTAGCTAATTTATTTATAAAAGTATGTTTATACAGTTCATCAGAGCTCTCGCCCCATAAAGTGGGTGTTTTCATTGCCTGCCTAAGCACCATTTATAGGCAACAACTGAAAGAATACACATCAAATTGACTGTCTTCACTTAAGCTGTTTAGCATGGTATCGATGGAAGTTTTCTACATCATCAATGGTCTCTGGCAAGTTTCTTCCTTTGGTCTCAGGTAGAAGTAGCACTGATCCAGCAGCAACTATAGCAACTGCGGCTGCCATGAAATACATAAAAGGCAAAGTTAGAACCCATTATATTACATTTTATTTTTATGAAAATGGTATCTAGTTTCTTAATTCAATGGGACAAGCACACATGTGAGCTACAAAGAAAACTTGATGAATTGATTTAATGCGCATGGGCAGATTCCATGATCAAAATATGTCCTCCTAATTTTGTTATTTGACTATGTGTGCCTTCAATAGCACAAATAATAAAAATATGTTAGAAATATCTCTTTTTAAAATTAAAAAGCACTAACTATAGCAATAAAAAAACACAAGGCAGAAAAGTAAATATTTTTAACAAAACAAGACATTCAGTGCAACCTTATATGTATCTGCTTAGAGCCCAAGGGGACTTACCTTTTGGTAAGCAAACCTAGGATTACATAGCTTGGCATTAAAATGCTTCAGCAACCTGCAGTAGAGAGATTACTTACTGAAGACTAAAAGAGGTAGCTGGGGCCAGATCTCTGTCAGTCTGTACACAACAAATGGGGATATTATTCCACCAAAGTCACACAAGGAGGAACAGACCATCACACCTAAGTTTCTAATTTTCAAAAAGGAGAAAAGAATAACTTTAAAAGTTAGCGCACATGTATGCATAATAACCACAATATGTGTGTGACATAAAGCATACTATAGAGCTTGTATAACATTTATGGCTTAGAGACAGTTTCTTTCCAGTAGAGGAGGAAGAGATACCTACATTTCAAACATATTTTACAACATATAAAAAGATGTTGCTACATATCATTCATTTGTGGATAAGGAAAAGATCTGATTGTGTCCAAAGGCAACCAAGGAAGGAAGGAAGGAAGGAAGGAAGGAAGGAAGGAAGGAAGGAAGGAAGGAAGGAAGGAAGGAAGGAAGGAAGGAAGGAAGGAAGGAAGGAAGGAAAATAAAATGGCCATAAATCAATGCCTGGTTGTGAAAAACCGGAGATGTGTGTTCATGTGTGTGTTGGTGCAGGAGGGTCCTGCAACCAAATTAAAAAGTGAATTTTACATAAAAAATAACTATTTAAAAAATCTGTTGTAACCACATTGAGTCCTAAATTTTGGGAAAAGAGGGATAATGATGACGATGATTTCCGAGGAGGTGTACCTCATGGCAGGTCTTGGAAGTGGTATAATTGAATCCTATATCAATAATATTTTTGGAACACAGTTGACCAGGTGTTACTGAAATCACAGAGAGAACCAGCATAGACAAAGGGGGAAATGTGTAATATTTTCAGGTTGTGGTTGACTGCAGATAACTGAACACATAAAAAATGAACATGCAGATAAGGACTACACACAAATCTGTACTAATTGAATAATCCCAGATATATACCTGGAGCAGTTTCAAAAATTACCTCACCTGGTATGGTGAGCACACCTACCTGAGAAAAGTTGGATACAATTCTGTATTTACAAAGCACACCATTTCAAAAGCCATTGTGATTCCCAATCTCCCCAGGCTAGCTGCAATAATCTTCAGCCAGTGCATATCTGAAAAAGTAAACAATAGATAATTCTCCAAAATATCTCCTTGCAGGAAGACAATTAATAGTTACAATTAATTAGTAACAAGATGGATTAAGCTTTTCTAGAGAACTGAAAGTAAATACTTTCCCATTTCTAAGCAATAAAAATCTCCGAGGGGACTGATAACATAATTTGACTGGACAATATTTTAATTTTGAATGGATGAGAATACACTTAGAGCTTTCTCACTTTTTGTGCTATTGGCATTACAAGGAACTAAGCAGAGCATAGTAGAGAAGGCTGTTCGGCTTTGCAGGTAAAGATGCGCTTCTCCCAAAATGTTATTATATCCAATTTCCACAGAAAATCAGATACATGCACCTAGTATCAGGCTAACAAGTTGCTACTGAAGCCTATGCTCACAGACTTAGTTATTCTAAGGTCAGCTATGTGTATGAACACAATATTTATGCTAATCAGATATGTATGGTGTCCACCATCCATGTTCTTTTCAACAGGCATCTAGGCAACACCACAGGACAGGTAGGGAGTCCAGATATGCTCTCGCCATCCATCAAATGTAGTCCCAATCAGTTTTCCTCGGAGTCAGATCTTTTTCTGTGGATAGGCCATTCATGAAAGATGCTCAGCAACCTCATCAGATGGGGCAATTTCTCTGTCATACATCACTTGCTCTCCTCTTCCACCATGGAGCTCGTTACATGATGCACATCAACTACCAGCCGGGCTCCATGGTGAAAGGGGAGAGTAAGCAATGTATGCTGCCATGGCGGCAACACGGGAGGTTTCCCATGTTGCCTTTGAAACAATTGGGGGGAGAGCCAGGTGCTGGACGCTTCTCCCCATGTGCGACGTGGGGCGTGGAGTGACGGGCTCTTCCCGGACCCC